TTAAATTATAATATTAACATTTTGCTCGTTCCATTTATAATAACATTTTTAATTGTAAATTGACTGAGAAATTAGTCGCTATACTATAGTAAAACCAACTGTGAAGTTTTTAATTTAATTTATGATTTCGTTAACACCGTGATTTCTCTATTTTGGATAAAAAGTCTACAATATTAATAGAACAATATATTGGAAATCTCATTAATTAGTTTTGAAAATAATGGTCTTCACGTGTCAGTTTGACTATAATTTAGGGATTGATTTTTTTTTTTTTTAGATTTAATACAAGTTTTGAAACTGATTTATAAATTGATATCTAAAAGAAAAATTACAATATAACATTAAATATGTATTGGTAATTTTTTTTTATATATTGTCTTATCTTAAAACATATATAAATAGACATATAGAGATAGAATTATAATATAAGTGATTATAAGTACAAAAATGCATTCATATTTGAGTCAAAAATTAAATATAATATTCAAATAAAATATTTTTAATAATGACGGTTTCAAGTTTCACCTTATAAATAAAACTCACTTAAAAATACAATTCATTTTCATCAATTTGACTACTAATGGTACTAATATAATTAATTTAAAATTAAGTTGTCAAAGTGTTTGTCCAAGAGTATAATAAAATAAAATAAAATAAAAGATTAAATTTTGAATCTTTTATTATTTTTTTCTTCTAATAATTATGATGTATCATGACAACCCAATGATGTAAGTTAAAAAACAATAATTAAGAAGAAGAACAAGTCATTAAAGGGGAAGACCCTTCTTTTTTTTTTTTATGATAATATATATTTTAAAAAAAGATTTGTTTGTTTAATTTGGATAAGCAATAGGTTTTGACTATTCAGAAAAGAGGTTAATATTTAATTAAATTTATTAATTTTTTATTATGGGATTCAAAAGATTGATTACGAAAAGATTTATATATAATCAGGTAATTTGTTTATTTGCAAGAGATCAAGATCATGCCTGATTTCTTTCTTAATTGTAGACTTTCAGGTGTTATTACAGGCTTGTTACGATAGCATAACCTTCATAGTACTGTGCTTAATTCATATTATTATTGTTTATATTAATTAAGTTATACATTTTCATTTGTAATTATTAAAATTTTTTATGGAGTATTTATAGTAAGAAGTATTATCAAATTAATTTACACCTAACCAACGGGGATGATCTGGGTGAAAAAAATCTCTTAAATAAGAGGGCGAGTGCTCGGTCCAGTCTTTTAATTATACTTGCAGTACAAACTAAAATAATGATAATAATAATTTATACCTAAAAAGTTAAATTCTATAGTACTGTTTTTGATTCTTCAGCTAGGAAAAAGAAAGATGGCTTCATTATTTACTCATGAATCCCAATTTTTTTTTTTTTTTTTTACATTATGTGTAAAATCAAACTTTGATATTATAAATATTTAAAAGAAAATCATCTTTAGAGAAAAAAACTTGGAGATTAATAATTAAGTGCTAGTACCGATTAATTTAATTAAGTAATATTTATACTGCTTCATTTTCATCCATCTAACCATTTTAATATAGTTTTTACCGTTTTAACTAGATTAATAAACTATTTTTATTAATTATAGTGTTAAATAAAGTAATTAGCGATTAAAGAAGCGCTTAATGAAACATTATTCCACTTAAAGTTTAGCTTTTCACACTAATTAATTGATAATTTTTTCACATTTATACCCATTACTTTTTCATATATTATAACAAGCCATATTTGTAATATAAAACCGTTCTCTTTATTCTTTGTCATTTTAAATTAATAACTAATTAAAGAATTGTTTTTCACTTTAAATAGATGTATAAAAAACTAACGCTAACAGCTAATTACTAATAAAAAACTAACAGCAATTGAAATACTAATAAGTATTAGAACGATTAATATTATCAAATAAACTCTTTATCTAATAGTGAAAGGCAGCAGCGGCATCTATCATATCATATAGAAATAAATATTGGGTCTCGAATGTTCAACATATTCATAATATAAATATAGATATTGAATAACTTATGATTTATATTTGATCATATTCTATACAGAATCTTAGGTGTCATGATTCATAATTGCATTACATTAATTGTAAAGTGTACTAAAAGAGAAAGAGATAATTCAAAATTATAAAAATTTCCTTTTTTTTTATATTTGTATGAACTTAATTATATATAAAACGGAATGAAAATAAAAAAATTATATAATACAGTCGGTTCTAACTAATTTGAGATTAAAATTTACATATTCTTATTATATTATTTTGAAAAAGATCAGTATTAAAAATTGGAAAAAAAAAAAAAAAAGATTATTGATGTTTACTAATGGCGGAGTCAATCCGAAACGAAGGGCTGCGGTTGGAAGTTTTTTTGAATTAAAACTGACAGTGATGGTTGAAAACAAAACCAAGGAAGGAGTATCAGAATTCACAACCGTTCGCATTTAAGAAACTTGAGAAGTCAAACGAACAAAACCTGACTCCCAATGGCAGCGATAACTGTGAAGGTAATTTTGGAATTACTAGAAGGGAAAATAATTATGTTGCAGTTTGACAATATATCGTCAGACTATTTAGTCTTTCCATTTAATTTATCAAAATTTGCTATTAAAATTATAGGAAAAGAAAAAAAATCCGAACATTTAGTAACGGAAAAATATTAAAATAACCCTATCTATTTCTTATTGAGTCTTTATTCACCACCCACAAATTCTTGCCCTTCTCCATCTCTCTCTCCATCGCTATCTCTTTCTCCTAAACAATCAAACAACCATTTTTCTCTCCATTTTTATCTCTTTCTCTTTCTAAGTATATGAAGTTACAGAACGAGGCTACATATATGTACATTTTAATTATGGGGATGGGTTTCTTACCACTTTTAAGAAGGGTTGCTTAAGATTCAAACTGAGTCTTGGAATAGACAGATACCAATATGTTTGTAGCTTTATTATTGTTTGAAATTTTTTAAATTTGAATTCATGTGTATTTCAGTTGTTTATTGTAGGTAATTACAGTATATCTCCTAACATAAAAGAAAGGAAAATTTGTATATTGAAGATTATTGTTGATTGATGTTTGAAGCGGCGATTTTAAATCTAAAATGACGTTTGAGTTTTTTAAGTGCACAGTTTATCGTGTGTAATTACAATATATCTCCTCATATAAAAGAAAAGAAAATTTGTAAATTGAAGATTATTGTTGATTGATGCTGGAAGTGGCGATTTTAAATCTAAAATGATGTTCGAGTCTTTAAGTGTACAGTTTTAGAGTCTTGATTGAAGTTGGAATTAGAATCTTCAAAACAAAAATTGCAATAGAAAAAAAACTATTTTTATGAAATTCTATATTAAATTTTTAGTTTCATATTGCTATTTTAACAAAAAAAAAAAAAACATAAAAATCAATATATTCGAATTTTAAGCTAGAAAACGGATATTACCCATAAAAAAACATATGATATGTAGGTGGAGAGGAGAGAAGACAGAAGGAAAGAGAGAGAAAGGTCATGAGGGCTATTGTTGTCATTTTATATTAACTCTCTCATCTCTCTTACTTTTTGACTTATTTTAATATAAAAATCTGAAAAATATGAATGAAAAGATTAAGTAGTTAGACGAAGGTAAAACTCCGGAACTATTAATTAATATTTTTAAACTGTAAAAATGAATTAGTTAATTGGTCAAATATTGGGACTAAATAATTATTTTTCCTTTTCCAAATTTTCCTTTTACGTATTTAACAAGGGATCAATGTATCCACATACTTGTACCGTACGTCTTCCATCGTTGCAAAAATACTATAGTGAAATTCAATTTCGGGCAGATTTTATTTTTCAAAATCTTATCATTATTATGATAAAACAGTAATTTCAAAATCGTGATATTATAAATTATCGTGAATCTTTATATTTATAATAATTTTTATATGATTATAAACATTTTATGACATTTACCATATCAATAAATGAAAATAATGAAATAAATTATTATGAGCAATATGTTAGAGATAAGAAGAATAAATATAAAATATATATGCTTAAAAATAAATATGATAAAACTCTATTATCATGGACCGCAAATTGATCAATTGCATATTGAAATATAAAACTTATTTGATTGTAAATGAAAAAACAAAAATGTATAGAGAAAGCAAATTATATTGAGTTAGATATAATATCAATTAAACAAAAGTTATATATATTTAAATCACATGACATAGATGAAGTGAAAATGATTAATATATGTTAATATAAAAATTTAACTTAATCTAGCTTTCTTGTTGTTATAAAAAAAAAAAAAATCCAAAATACATTAAACAAATAAAAAGGTCAATAAGAATTGCAAAGTTACAAACAAAATAATAAAAAAATTATAAAATAAATTACATAACAACTAAAATTAAAAACAAACAACACTTTTCTTAATTAGCATTTCAAAAACAACGATTATTAAATTCATATACAAAGATTAATATATTATTTGCATGCTATTTATATTATATAATAATTTAAAAAAGTCACTTAAGATTACAAATTTACAAAAAAAAAAAATAAAAATCATAAAATTAATTATATAATAACTAAACTAATATTATAAAAAAGTCACTCATATTTTTATAGAAAACGAGAAAACTGACCAGACAACATTTAATTAGTAAAAATATATTATGAAAATATAAAAAATATATTATTAATTTTTTTGATGTTTAATATACATATAGTAATTAAGAGAATAATTTTATGAGATAATATCAACATTGGGTTTAATTGTTTTTATACAAATTAAAATGTAAACTATGCATTCTGTGTCACATATGAGAAATTGTCTAATACAACACAATGCAAAATTGCATTTAAAATTAGATTCTTAAAAGAGTACATTTCCAATATTCTTAATATAAATTAATTGACAAAAACATATTAAGTGGGTAATTTGATTTTTCAAGTTATTGAGTCCCTATTAATTATTAGAGGAGATTGCTAATCATTCACCATAATCGCCATTTGCATGTTTACTGAAAATAGCTCATTTACCATCTTTATATACATAAAACTTCCTTTTTTTTATTTTACCTAAAAAAGTAGCTCACTATAATTAGGAAATTTAAAAAAAAAAAAAAGCTACTACTCATATGACCGCGAGCTGAGCATATCCTAACGCCGGATGGGGAGATAACGGAGATGACGGAGATAAACTGAAAACTCCTTTCAGATTACCACTGTCCCAACTCGTCGTCCAGCTCGACGGCGTCAACGCGACATCCCTCTCAGTTTCTTCTCTCTTCACTACCTTCTTCGCTTCTACCTCTACAATCTCACTTTCTCTTGTTCGTTTCCGTTGGTTCCCTTCATCGGCGTTTGTATTTAACTTCCCAGCTTCCAGAGGAAAGTTAAGTATAGCTTTGGAGCCGCGCAGCTTAAACGCGGCGCGATCATAGGCTTTGGCGGCTTCAATAGCGGTGTCAAAAGTCCCGAGCCAAACCCGAGTTCCTTTCCGGTTCGGATCTCGGATCTCCGCGGCATATTTGCCCCACGGCCTCTGTCGGACTCCTCTGTAATGCCTTTTTTCTTCAACCGAGTTGCTTTGCACCGGTTCCTGATTCGATTTAGCGAATTGAATCCATTCAGTTTTGTTAGGCAGCGAGATCTTCAAAGATGGCTTTCGGTTTACTTGAATTTGAGGCTTTGAATCGAAATCAAAGAAATCTTTATTATTTGATTGAGTAATTCCGAAACTCTGAGGTATTTGAGGTTTTGATTCGAATTCGAAAAGAGAATTAGAATCGAATTCAAAACTCTTAGGAGTAGTAAGATCAATGAATTGAGGTTTAGCTTCAAATTGGAGGAAATCATCATCAGTATCGTTAGGGTTAAAATAATCAGAGATTGAGATAGAGGAGTCGGTGCTTGAAGTAGAAGAAGAACATGAGCTACTGACAGGTGAAAGAAGATCGCCGAGTAAATGTTGCTCGATAAGCTCTAAGGCAGAGGTCAGTTGAGCTTCAGTCGCCATTTTTATGAAGTTTTAGTGTTCTGAAATGTTTTGGAAGGATGATGAGAGTGGAAGAAGGAGTGTAAGGGTATATATAGGAAGGAGCTGAGGAATATGTGAAGATGATGAAGCAGTTTCTTTGACCAAACGAGGAAACATCCTCTCTCTATCTCTCTCGATTCCTTTACCTTTCTATTTATTGTTATTGGTTATCCGCTTACCGTTGGTTCATTATCTATCTTCTTGCCATATCCAACGGTTCTAACGTAAATAGAAAACAAAGCAATAATGGAACTCTTTTTAGAAAACTTTTATGTGTACATCTAGATTGATAATTAAGAAAAAAAAAATAATAAACTCAAAAACATAATTGTAAGCACAACTGTCTATAGCCCAGTAGTAAATGCACATACGACTTGATAATAGATTAAGTTTTAATTTCTCATTCCCCAATACTCAAAAACCATAATTATAAGAAAAAAAAACAAATTTTAAATGTAACTTTGAGAAATTATTTACCTACTTAGTATATATATGTGGTAGTAGCAGATAACAATTATTATCTCTATGTTATCTTCTTCTTTTTCTTTTTCTGTAAATTGTCAAAAATATCTTTATTTCTGTCATTTATTTGATAAACATTAAATTGACTTATACTTAGTTTGGTGTATGAAAGGTTGCATATAGGGGCATGCAAAACATCCGAATCAAATTCAGCATTCTGTTCCCATCGTTGATTCGGCATTCTGGTCCCATCAATTGTTTAAAGGGAATTCAATTTTGTCAACTTAATCGACTTGAACTAAAGTTATCGGTAGTTCGATTCGACTTAAAAATTGATTCGAAAATAAATCAAAATCGACCGAACTAATTGATTCTGTTCGAGTTGATTCAACTTAGATGCTAATTTCAGTTCGGTTTGATTTTTGTAAGAAAATTTGGATGTTTCATTTTTTAGAAATCAAATCGAGCATTTCCTCACCCTAATTGCATACATCATGTGTGTGTAAATTTAATTCATACTTTATTATCTAAAAGAATGATTAAACTCATTTGATTATAATTTGAAAACTATGATACTATAAAATACTTTAAAGACCAATATGTTAGATAAGCAATATTGTTTTTGTATATTAATATAAAATTTCAACCATTTGACAAAAGGTAAAACATATATATTCTTTGGATAAAATAAGAAGGATTGCACATGTACTCCAAATCTGTTGTCTTCTAAGCAATTTTAGTTCTAGAATAAATGATAATTAAGAAAAACACCTGTCGTTCCTTGTACGTTTTTATTTGCATTTTACTTTTTCTTTTCTGTCCTTTTTACAAAAATATTTCGCAGTTAAATTTGTGTTTTTATTTTTACTGATTATAATTTCTCAGATAATTGAAAATAAATTGATTATTTTTTGTAATTATCCATAGGCATAGGTATAAGTCTTGAGGGCACATGGGTTCAATAATTTGACAAGGGAGCAATACAAATCAGAGACATGGTCAAAATTTGAATTCATCAAAATTTCAAAACTGAATATCAAAGTCAAAATGCCAATGGCATGCTATATATGTTCACAAGACACACTACGAGCTACTACCTGTATCCTACCACATTAAATATATTTGTCGTTTTACACAGTCTCTATATTATTCTTCGATTCAATAGTCATGTACTCATGTATATAAATTATAAAGTCAATAATAAACAAAATTTAGATAGTGAGAGAAGGTGGAAGTTAACAAGTCATCTAAGGGAAGACTTATTCATTTGTTATATATATATAGACTCCATCGACCGTATATGATTTGTTTGGGATTGCAAGACTTTGAAAATTCCAGATTTTTAAATAAATTTATTTCATTTGTAAGTCATATTTCGGTTCAGTGTACAACCCCTACAAAGTTATGGAGTTCAATTAGTAGAAAATCTACCCCAAAATAAGAATAATATCATACCCAAAGGCATACGAATATTGCTCATACCACTCGATTGCATGCAATTGGGTTGATTTTATATATATTCATATTCGGTTCAGTGTACAACCCTACAAATTATGGAGTCAGGTAGTAGAAAATCTACCCCAAAATAAGAATAATATCATACCCAAAGGCATACGGAAATTATTGCTTCATACCACTCGATTGCATGCAATGGGGTTGATTTTATATATATATTATATATATATATATATTTACTATATATATAAGGCTCAATGGACCGGAAATAATATGCAGGACTACAAAGCAGTAGTGACAACTTTTTTCTTTCTTTGAATAATTCACCCAAATTGATTTTAACTTATATATATAAGGCTCAATGGACCGGAATAATATTGCAGACTACAAAGCAGTGACAACTTTTTTCTTTGAATAATTCACCAAATTGATTATTAACTTTACGGTGAAGAGAACTTTCACTCAAAATCAAAGCCTTTTACTCTCACTACAAAAGGTAGGAAGACCAACTGGAGTGATCGATTGAAGGTGGTTGGTTTTGACATTGAATTATGATGATTTGAGGAGAATTATACTTAAAAAGAAATAATTTACCTACATCTCTCTATACATCAAATCAGTTGAAACAGTTTTTTTTTTTTTTAATAAACAGACTACTTCTAAAAAAAGATAAAATCATTGATTAGTTTGATACAAAGGTTGTGCAGGTAAAGTATTATCGCACTTAAAAAGCCAACATAATTACCCTAAGTTTTCAAATTGAAATTCTATATTACGGCTAAACACATATTTTTACCCTTGAATTGTTTTTTTTTTTAAATTAACCCATTTTTTAAAACGTTTATTGCACACTCGAACTTCGTGCGTATTGTCCACTCGCCCCTTCCAACGAAACTTTGACAGCGCGTGGTATCAACTCACAAATAGAGCGCGTCTGGCATTAGTGCTCCGTTACACTTCAAAACGCCGCCGTTTCGTCACTGTTTGTTCGCTCTCATCATCATGAGACGACACCATCTCTTTCCATCGCCTTTCCCTCTCTCCTTTCTCTACCTTTCTCGCCAAATTTTCTTTTGCTTTCTGTATTGCCAAAAAAAACAATGGTGAGGGATGATTTGTGCATAATGGTGCCTAGTTTCTTCCGATGTTCGACACCTGTTAGCTTGTGCGCCAGAGTCACCTATGATCGTGCTAGTATCCAGAAGTGGCTTGACAATGGCAACAACACTTAGCCCGCCACCATGCAAGTCCTTTAGAGCAAAGAATTTGTTCCCAACCACACCTTACAATACCTAATCCAGATTTGGTCTGACTCGGTACAGCACCACCACAGTCACTGAGTTGACTTGGCAGCTAAGTCACTTCCATCACATGACAAAATTAAGAACATAGTCAAAGACATTGAAATGAAGAAAGAACAGGATCGCTATTGTTCTAATGCTTTTTCAAAAATTTTGCGTTTCGTTGAAGAATCAGAGGAGAATCGAGAATTTCTAGGTAAATTGGAAGGATTTGTGTCAATGCTTGTTGGTTTTCTTGGTGATATGAGAAATATTGACTTCATTGAGCAAATAGTTAGGCTTCTAGATTTGATCTTAATTAAAATCGTTAACCATCAACAATTAATGACATTGCTCTTGAAGAACAACAATGTCGATTCCTTATCCTCGCTCCTTCTCATAATGCAACGAGGAAGAAGCGTGCACTCGAGAATTGGATCAGTGAGAATTCTAGAATCAATCGCCACACAGGTGCAAAATCAAAGCTTTCAATTGTTGAAAAATATGGTTTATTATCCGAATTAGTAAAATTAATTGATTCTCGTCGTTGCTTGGAGCTATTTTTGCTCTCGTTCGATTGGTTGGGTCTGCCATAGCTAAAAGGGTTGGAGCTATTTTTGTTTTCCATAGCTTGAGCTATTTAGGGTTAATTTCCTGTAAAAACGGTGTCATTATCATAGTGGAGGTGGCTGAGTTTTGTAAGTGAAACGAGACCGTTGTATCATTCTAGGGGCAAATAAATATTAAATAATACGGTGTCATTTTCATAATTGAGGTGGCTGAATTTTGTTAGTGAAATAAGACTGTTTTATCATTCTAGGGCAAACAAACAATAAATAATGCAGCGTGGTTTTGATGATAACGGATACTTAACATTTGATACACTTCTTCTGCTGTAATGCTACTGCACGCTCTGTCAAAGTTTCATCAAAAGAGGCAAGTGAGCAACACGCACGAATTTCAGATACGCAATAGGTAAATGTTTCAAAAAAAAGGGGTTAATTGAAAAAATTATTAAAGTTGGAGATCCAAAATATGTGTTTAGCCTCAAAACTACACATCACTATAATTCATGTTTTTTTAAGCAAGTAAAAATCTTATAAGAAATAAAGAAAATTGTCTTATAATATTTTTAAATTTGACGAATAAAATAATGCCATATTAAATAAAAAAAATGAAGAAGTACAAAAAATTGAAACAAATATCGTTTTTTGTCATGAGCTTATAAAAATTACTAGTCAAAATCGAAACCGTCAAGCAAGGTTTTAAGAATTAAAAAAACCCTATTGTGTGCACACAAATATATATATAAAAATCACATTTGCAGCTGAGAGTCCATGGAGTGTGGTTATTATATATCAAAATAGTCAAGCGAAACAAGAGCACATGTTCAAAACAAAAGTAATAGCTGACCAGAAAAAAATACATAAATAACCAAAAGAAGCAACAGTGACGATTGCTATATGTTCCAAAAGATATGTTTTAAGAGTCAAGAAGAACTATGCATGGTTTGAACAACGAAAATAAGAAATTTGAAACTGTAGATATGGTTGTAATAGCTTGATAATGATTAGTTGAAAAAAAAAAAAGAACAACAATCAAGAAACTTTTGTCAATATGTATATATATATATATATTCAAGATTGAAAGGAAAAGTGGGAGTTTCCCAGCTAGGATTCCAAGAATGCATTGAATTGAATTCATGTTTCATATATTCATAATTTTGTAGTCATAAGAAATTAATTAAATATATATATATCTTTGGTTAATCATTTCATGCTTTGAAAATCTTTTTGTACACTTTAATTGTTGAAGTTTGAATAATTGAAATGGAAAGTGTTATAAGCTTTTAAAATTAGAACAGTAGGAGATTTATGTATAATTATTCATTTAATTGTCAAAACCCTCATTGCATTAAGTGAAAAATGTTGCATCACTCTTGACTTCTTGAATCCTTTTCCGCATTTGATGGTCTTTGGGCATCGAATTCTTCTTCCTTTTTTTATTTTATTTTATTTTTTTAAAAAAAAAACATGAAACTTTTCATATAGAAGTCATACCATCAAGATATAATTTTTTTGTCTTTTTAATAAAGTGAATTTTTTGATTCTCATCTTTATAGAGTTGAGGTCGCTTACCGCCTTAATCAACACCTTATTGATAAATAATTCATTAATTGTGTTAACTTATAAATTGGTTTTTCTACGGATTGTAGCTCTACTGGCAACGCAGATTGAACATATGAGAAGATATATTGGGTTCGATCCTTACTAAATTCACCTATAGGGAGGGGAGGAGCTTCAACTATGATTAAACTTCGAGCCGAATTAGAAGCTCTCTAATAATAAGGTTCGGATACCGGTGGTTTACATAAAAACTTATAAACTTGTTTATTGTCCATTTTATTGGCTAGGTCAAAGCTTTATTAGTTAAAGGTTGGATTACTAAAAATTAAAATTATTAAACGATAATCTACAGATTGTGGTTCAGTTGACAACGTATATTGGATATAGGGAAAGGGCTATTGGATTCGATCCTCATTAAACTCCCTATAGGGAGAGACAAAGAGTCTTAACTGTGATTAAATTCTGAGTTAAATTTAGTCGGTTCTTGGTAAAAGACTCCAGAGATAGGTGGTTTAAAAAAAAAATTATTAAACGTCAAATTTCTTGTTTATGCTTTATATGGTACGTCTCTGCGTTTGTATATATGACGTAATATTGAGCATGCCGCAGGCGCAGTGCATGCCATGCAAAATCACCATTACGTGTGTTTTTTCGGTGAATTATATTGTTCAATTTTTACGTTGATGTCAACTCTATATGTTGTTCAAAAAAACAAAAACTCTATTATGTATTTTTATATGCTCTGTTTGGTTGTTGGTCATTAATTTAGGTTTAGGTGACCAAATCAAGGGTGCCACCGCCACGCAAGTGTTCCCATTTCCCATTGGCCTTAACGAGGTGTATTCAATTTTTACCGTGCACTTGGGCAACTGGCTTTCTCCAGTTTTTACTTTTCCCCTTACAGGTAAAACTTGTCAAAAACTGATCTATTTACTGTTCATTCATAAACCAAACTAACAACAATATAAATTTTTAAATTTTATTTTTATTTTATTTTTTTGAATAAATAGTTAAACTACACTCAGATTCAATTGTTTGGTGTTTTTTTTTCTTTTAATTTAATTAGGAATCAAAATAATTAAAATTCGGAATAATCCCGTTTATTATCTAATTTCCTTTTTAAATAAACCTATAGTTCCTCCATGCAAATATATTAATGGTAATGCAAGAATAAGGTAATAGTAATTTTTGTACAAAATTTTTGATATCATCCCCATATACAAAATTAAAAAACGAAGTTTGGAGAGGGAAAAATAAAATAAAATACTAGAATAAAAAATAGAAATTTTATGAAACTATAAGCTGAGAATATCCTAACGGCGGATGAGGAGAAAACGGAGACAACGGCGGTACATTGAAGATTCCTTTCAAATCGCCTCCGTCCATAATTGCCGTCCAGCTCGACGGCGTCAACGCCTCATCTCCCTGAGGCTCTTCTCTCTTCACCACCTTCTTCGCTTCCTCTTCTACAATCTCACTTTCTCTTGTTCGTTTCCGTTCGTTTCCTTCACTGGCACGTGTGTTCCATTTCCCAGCTTCTAGAGGGAAGTTCAGAATGGCTTTTGAGCCGCGAAACTTGAACGCTGCTTGATCGTAGGCTTTGGCGGCTTCGATAGCTGTTTCGAAGGTTCCGAGCCACAACCGAGTGCCTTTCCGGTTCGGGTCTCGGATCTCCGCTGCGTATTTGCCCCACGGTCTCTGTCGGACTCCTCTGTAATGCCTTTTCTCTTCTACAGCAGAAGCACCCGAGTCAGCTTGGACCGATTGCTGGTTCGGTTCAGCAAATTGGATCCATTCGGTTTTTTTGGGCAACGATATTTTCAAAGACGGCTTTCGGTTCCCCTGAGAACTTGAACCAACAGATGGTATTTCAGGTTTTGATTCGAAATCGTTGAAAACGTTATTTGATAGAGAAATACTTTGAGGTTTTGATTCAAATCTGAAATTCTGAATGTGTTGTATTTGAGGTTTTGATTCGAATTCGAAGAATTCGTTACTTGATTGAGAGATTAGTTGAGGTTTTGCATCAAATTCAAAACTAGTTGGCGAATCGCAAGATCTTGGAGCAGTGAGATCAACGATTTGAGGTTTAGCTTCAAATTGGAAGAAATCGTCATCAATATTGTTGCTTGTAAAGTAATCAGAGAATGAGATTGTTGAATCAATACTTGAAGTCCGGGAGCAATTAGACTCATTTTCAGAGCTCGAAAGCTCCATATTTACATCATTAAGGGTGGAATAAGAACATGAAGCACCAACAGGTGAGAGAAGATCACCAAGTAAATGATGCTTGATGAACTCTAAAGCAGAAGCTACATGAGTTTCAGCCTCCATTTCTGAGACTTCTTCAAATCTTTAAAGACTATACTATTAAAAAAGCTGAATGTTACAGAGAGGAGAGGAATTGTTATTTTGAAATCTTGTAGGAGGATGAGAGTGGAAGATGAAGTGAAAATGGTATATATAGAAAGGAGATGAATATGTAAGCAGAACAGCGACTTTTCAACGAGAGTTTTTTTGACCCAAAAAGGAAGGTTCCCCGCTCTATCTCTCGCTGCATTGGCTTATTGAAATTTGCAATTGGATGATCTTCACGAACGGATCGACGGCTGATGGACAATGTAAGTTGTTAATTCATGTTCTGTTGTCGTGTTCTGTTGCTATTTTTTATTTGAATTCTATTATAATAAGTTACTCATCTTTGGATTTACTTCTACTTTTCCTGGTTGCTTCCAAAAATGCACGTTTGTGTAGAACATTTCATACGAACAGAGAGTTAGCTAACAAAAGTATTAAGACATTTTTTCAGGAAATGGATTGGATAATAACGTTAAAGAATTGCTTTTAATATTTGGATAGTAGTAATGCATGAACTAGGAAAGATTCCTTTTGAAGCAACTATGATTTGGTCATGATTAATAGGTAACCTTTACTATATGGTTCGAGTTATTAAAAGATCCCTATTCTAGAAAGCCAAAAATTGCTCATAGTTCATGTAAATATGAGTTATAATGAAATGAAAAAAATTCCATAGATTTTATCGAATAATTTATTTAAAAAGCCAAATTTTACTCTTCATGGGATAGATCTTGATTTGGTCTGTCATTGTCTAATATAGGTTTATGTTTATCAGTTTCTATATTTATATAAAAGAAAAGGAAATTGTTAATGCCAATCAATTCAGACATGGTCTGTTAATATTAAAAGAATTAGGCTTTCTGAATCTATCCTGAATTATTTGAATATAAAATCCAAAGATGGCTCACGGGCATGCTGACAAAAAAAAAATATTTTGAAATTTTTGGCTTTTATTCCTAGGCCAATTTAAAAAGCCAAAATAGGAGATGCATCACTTCTCTTTTCTTTTTCCTTTTGTTTTTTTATGGTTTTTGTTTTATTTTTACTTTGTGAATTTAGTTGGCCAGCCATTAAATTAACAAAAACTTGTTTATAATGTACTCAAGCTATTATGAAGTAGTAGGGCCAATGATATAAATAAAGGATGGGAAGCAGTCAATTGCTATAGTTGTTTAATTATTCTAAGTCTTGTGCCTCCTGACAGTCTCAACCACTCTTATTATTCTATGCAAAAATGTCTCAGGATAATAGCAAGTAAGATGAAGCTTGAACCAAGTCCAAGAGCAAATTTTTTTAATAAAAAAAGATCCATTCTTTTCGCATCTGAGCATTGGAAAACAGTAAAATAACCAAGTTTTAATGATTGCTAACAGTGATGTAACATGTTAATCATCTCTGATGTTAGGAATTATATTAATCGTCAGTTTGTCACTTGTGTGTGAATTATATGAGAATATTCATAAAGATATGTAGTTACTAAAATTTGCATTTTTTTTCAGTTTGCTTACTTCTAGTTAATCTCACAAAGGCATGAAAATTGGGAAATTATGTATTGTAGTCTTTTCACCTAACAAGTTCACTCATCAATCTTTTTCTTGGTGAGAGAATGGGCTTCACAAAACAAACTGTCTAGAAGTATTCAACCATGACTATATTCATTTTTCTGTACATTATTTTGGAACAACAATCAGTGTTGTTATCGGACAAAATTCTTTTCATGGAGAACTAATGAAAAACCAGAAACATTCACATCTGATAGATAAGCGGAGGTTTTTTAATAAAAAAATAGCCTTTATATGATATGTCTGCCCTGAAGTGATTGCTCCCTTATGTTTTTTACCCTTCCTATGAAAATATTCATTGCTAAAATTTGTCGATTGGCTATTTACCAGGATTTAAATTGGGATATATAGCTAGAAAGACCTTAATACTAAAGTTCTCTGTAACTAGAAAATGCTCAGCCTAAAGAGTCTTAGAGGGCATTTCGTTCAGATGGTTCATGCAGCTAAAAACTGATTTTTTTCATCCTAGGTAATCTTCATGCTTAATGAATTAGATGTCATTGCTTTTTCTGTCCATTATCTGAAGAAAAACCAGAAACATTCACATCTGATAGATAAGCAGAGGTTTTTTAATAAAAACAATAGCCTTTATATGATATGTCTGCCTCTGAAGTGATTGCTCCCTTATGTTTTACCCTTCCTATGAAAATATTCATTGCTAAAATTTGTTGATTGGCTATTTACCAGGATTTAAATTGGGATATATAGCTAGAAAAACCTTAGTACTAAAGTTCTCTGTAACTAGAAAATGCTCAGCCTAAAGAGTCTTAGAGGGCATTTCGTTCAGATGGTTCATGCAGCTAAAAACTGATTTTTTTCATCCTAGGTAATCTTCATGCTTAATGAATTTGATGTCATTGCTTTTTCTGTCCATTATCTGAACTTATTGATTGCTTAACTATCAGAGTTTGAGTGACCTAAAAGAAAAATGCAAGTTTCATTAACTTTCTGCTGATGCCCTCAGGATTAATGAGGAGAAAGCATTAATCTTTGGACATCTTACCTTCAGAAACCATTACCTGCTGCTGCTGGACTAGTGAGGAGAAACTGCAAAGACTGACCTTGGGCCATGTACTTGTGGGAGTGATTTTCCTTGAGCTTCCAGAATCCTAGCCAGATTCTTCTTGATGGGGCTTCTGTGTGCAGTTTAATAGTAGTCTCATGCTCTGGTATGCACTTTTAACTACTTGAAGATTTTGTAGTGTTCTTTTGCACCTTTCCAAGTTCATATGTAAATTTTTACTGTTACATTTTTATATCCACCTGTGAAAGTCTTTTGTCAAAACTAAAGAGGCTAATAGATTTATGCATCTTTAGATGCCATGAAATCCATTTACAATTTGATTACAATTTATTATGAGATTTTCCCTCCATTAAATGATAAACCTGCAACCTATTAAATATAATTGAAGAAAATCAGGTCCAGTTATGTGTAGACTAGTGAACAGCTGAAATGACTCATCTACATGGTGTAATTGATTCTTATTTCTACTGCATGCTGCCTGGACGTGTTTTGAGGGGAAGAGTTCAGCTATGGCCTGCCTCCTGTTACCAAAAGAACCATGATATTTGTAATATCTCACTACTTATTGTTCTGATGTAAAATAGAGTTTGATATAATTGGTATTATAACTGCAAGCCAGTGTTATATCATAAATTCTAAATAGCTTTTCTGCACTGAAGTGCAACACCAAAAAGTGAAATGATAAACACAGACAAACAAAAGCTAACTTTTGCTTAGTCAATCAAGATGGCACATCCACTTAGTATCTACTGTTGTTCTCTCATGTCTTCTAATGTCTCCTTTCCTTTTCAGCTTGACATGTAAGTGGCTGTATTATGCTAATATGCTGGCATTTCCATTCTATTCACTTGGAAACATAGTAATCCAACTATTGTTTTAATCAATAATCTTACTTCCCCTAATACAGAAAATTGCATTAATTATCCAAAAAATTATATGTAATTATGCTAACAACTTATCTAGTTTGTGAAATTACACTAGCAGCCATTTGGCATTGGTTCACCACTAATTATGTCAAATCTAGGTGACGAATGATGGGTAAACATTAAAAACTTGATGCTACTGTACTTTATAGCTACTTGTTTCTGTGTTATTTTCGAACCAGTTAATATCTGTTTATGCTTTCCTTGATACTTCTAACTACTCGGTGTTGTTAACCTTGTCCTTTTCTGTAAACCTAATCTGTCAACTTTTATTGCATCCTCCACTTTCTTCATTCAATATTCCACGCACTACACCATTAATCCATTTTGCACATGATAAGCAGTGATGTCTTCGTTACTGTAACTGAAAATTTTCTACATTGGAATGGATATTATGTTCAAAACAAATTTTTAAAGTTCAACAATTTTTACCAGCAGATAAACTTTATTTTTGAATGAAGAATTTAGTGACAAATATGTAATCATTTGTTAGAAAAAATGGGAATAAACTGTTTGGTGGTAACAAACAGTGATATCATAGTCAAGGGCCTCTAACCTAATTCTTCTTGTGAATTTATTCTATGTAGCTTTTAGACTTACATAACTTCTTGGAAAGATGCCAACTAATTTTACTGGTTATTAGTGAACTTAGTTCCATGAAATTGGTAAGAAAAAGTGAAAGAATATAATTTTTTTTTTACACATATGCCTATATGATCTAAGAAAGATGTTTTCTGGGAGGTTGAATCCAATTTCTAATATGGTGGTTGAATTTTCTTTTTCAGATTTTGCTTTGCTATGGATTGAATAGAATGTGGGAAAGTTGAAAAAGTGGATTTAAATACATGAGATAGTAGTTGAAAGAACACATGTAACATGTTTTGGATAGTAACACCTTCCTAAAAAACTTGATCAATCGCTATCCAAGAATAATACATTCTTTAGGTTCATGGATTTACAGGTTGTCTTGACCAAGGAAAACTTAAAACTTCCATGGGAAACTATGGTGTGGCTTTCCTATATCATTTTCTTGGATATCATTTTCAATAGGTATTTTCTAACTTGTACTTGACATAAATTGGATACTGGATTACTATAGTCATTTTATTGAACTAATGCCCTATGTGCAGGTGATTGTAGACAAGAGAATCCAGGTCTAATAAAATCTGTGGTGTACGGATTTCATTGAGCTACAGTACGAATTACTGTACAATCAATCAATTCTTGTGGTTATCATATTTTCTTTTCGGTTTTTTTCTTTCTGGCTTTTGATATTTCAATCTAAGATTTTTTATGTTAGCTTATCTTTGGAAATAAAATTCCTCTTCGGACAATCTTAAAGATGCATTCTCTCTCACGTTGGCTTCATATATTCAGAAACGTTATTTTTGAATTACTATTCAAAAAGAATTGATTCTTCATTGATAGAAGGAAGCTCTTATCTTTACCGACTGAGTAATGGGTTAGAGGGTTTTTTTTTTTTTTTTTTTTATACTGGATTACTTATAGTCATTTATTGAACTAGATGCCTATGTGCAGGTGATTGTAGACAAGAGATCCAGTGTCTAATAAAATTGTGGTGTTTACGGATTTTTCATTGAGCTTACAGTCAATTACTGTACAATCAATCAATTCCTTGTGGTTATTATATTTTCTTTTTCGGTTTTTTT